TCGAAATTACCTGTTTAAGAAGTTTGCAGCAGCTTGAGGTTAGTGAAATCGGCCTATAGTTTGATACCATCTTACACGTCACCTGAATTTAGGATTTGGAAAACTTTAGCCATTTTACAACCGTCTGGAATAGAAACATATAGCAATGATGCCTGAAAAATAATGAAAAGATATTTGGCACACCATTCAGCGTCTCTTCAAAAATGAGTTTGTGACTTTGTCAGGTCCTTCTGACTTGGAATAGTCAATGTTAAGGAGTATCGAAAAAATTCCTTCATAAGACAAGGGTACATCATCGATCGCTGGAATATCAGAGTATTCATTGAACACTCGTGACAGAACATCATTGCTGGAGAAAACTGTGGAAAAAGAATGATTAAACGTGTTGGCTATGTCAACTTTTTCAATATTGGCTCACCATCATGAACAAAATTTGAAATGTCATTTCTCATACGTTAAATGATGCCGCCAAAATTTCTTGGGAGCAGTCAGCAGAAAACTAGACATTGTGATGTTGTATAATTTGTTTTTAGCACTTTTTATGGCAGTTTTTAGGTTTGTGCTCTGAATTCTAATAGTTTCACCTATGCGTTCACTAGGAGTTTTGCGGATGTTTGCTGTATATCTCGAGATTTTTCGCCTTTTGATGGACTACATGCTTTGTAATCCACTGGTTTTTGTTATGCGACATTTTAATTTTGAGTGGAATGTACTGGTCAATGCATTAGTTTATTATTTCCTTTAAATTTCATCCATATATTGTTAACATCATGTGCAGGGTCAAGGCTCAATTGCCTCAAACAGTGATAACAAGATTCCAGTTTGTCTAAAAGGCCCATCTCCATGATGAAAATCTTTGTATGTTGTCACATCGCTATGCACACTAGGTACCAAACGATAAGGGCAGTAAAACCATCAAGTGATGCCTGGGAATACCCAGTACTGGTACAGAATATCGCTTATACAGATCAAGAACAGATTAGCATTCACCCTGCACTCGTGTGTACCATTTCACTATCCGAGTTCAATCGTGCAAAGAGGTCATATCAATCAAAGTGGAACAAAGAGTGACGTCTTAGTTTACCGGTCTTAACCCCTTCACTTCCGCTATTATGCAGCCTTTTCCCGCGTGGTATTCCGCGCCCCGTTTTCACTGTACCCGTGCCTTCTGTGGCTCCGAGGAAAAAGTTTAATAACTTCCGCAAAAAAAGACACAGGAGGATAACTTTTGTTATATTTCAATCCTTAATCACAGGCAAACGGTATTCACTTAAAAAGACTTTCGAGTGTGAAATAGCTTAAAGCACACGGGCATGTGAAGGGCGACTTCACATTTTTCGCACTCCCAGCGGCTCTCGCTTCTTTCGCCCTGGACCTTGCAGATGTGGCACCGCCTAGATGGGTTTGGTTTCGTAGCATTGGCTGTGATCCGGCGAGGAAAATGCGCCCATTCGTATCCCTCTAGGCGCATCGGCGAGGCACTCACTGATGGCTTTCCCCGTCGCTTGTAACCGGGCAACACCGTCTCCTCCACGATCTGCTCGGCAAGGTCGACTTTCCAGTCCGTGAAGCCAGACTTCTTGCCTGTGGTCTTTCCAAAAAGTATATAGCTGTTGTAGACAGCTATATCCATAACGTAGAAGCAGGGCCGTACCCAAAAAAAAATTTCGGGGGGGGGGGGGGGGGTTTTCGTGGACAACGGTGGCCATTTTGAAAGTGTCTATTGTCTTATTTTCGCCTACGAATCATGTTCATCGGAGGCATATAATGGAGAGTTGCAGCAAACCGGAGAACCGGTCCCGGTTTGGTATCCGGTAGCCGACCGGCGCCACTGTGCGTGCGCAGAGGTGGAGATTAAAATCGGCTGGCTGCAAGTGCACCGACCAGGGCTGTACCCAGAAAAAAATTTCGGGGGGGGGGGGTCAGAACCCCCTAACCCCCCCCCCCCTGGTTACGGCCCTGCGTAGAAGAAGATCTTTTTGTACCCCTTGGCATATCTCCGCATAATGGGAAACGAAGCCAGCTGCTGATCCTCACGGTCGACGCCTCCCATACCTCTGTTGTAATCAAGCACAACCTGGGGTTTGAGGATTGGCTGGTTGTGTTTTCTCGGTTTTCCTGTGTCTGTCAGGTTTGTTGTGTCATGGGAGGTCGAAAGCAAGGTTACGGGCTTCTTGTCCTGCCATGTCACAGCCATCAGTCCACGGGAAAAGAGGCTGCGACAGTCACCCTTTCGAAGGTTGATTTTTTTCAGATCCTGCGGCATGTTCTTTCGATGCACCCGAACTGTCTTGACAGCGTTAGACCCCGCTTCCTTGATGTGAAGAAAGAGTAACCGGGACGAGTACCAGTTGTCTGTATGGATGGTGTAGTGTCTAGTTTCAGTTTGTGTTTGAACTCCTCAACTCCAAGCAGCCGAAGGAACATTGACTATCGAGAGGCATGCTTGGACAGGCCTCCCGCGGTGTATGCGGAGCATCGCAATGTAACCTCCAACAATCCTATGTAATCTCAGTATTAAACGGTGTTAAACCACTACAGATGGTGTGACCATTTCCAAGACGGTGTCCCAAAAGGTCGATTACAACAGCCTCGCTGCATAACATTCCAGCTGTTGCCGGGGTCCTCTCACTTTTGCCTGTGTAAATAGAAAAGTTCAGGCAGTATCCGCTTGACGACTCGCACAGCTTGTAATATTTGATTCCAAAGTGTGCGCAATTCGACGGATTGAATTGAATGTAGGACAGACGACCACGAAACTTCATGAGGCTCTCGTCTACCGCCAGTCCCTCTCCTAGAGAATACGACTCGCCAAACACCTTCAAAACATAGTCGAGGACTGAACGCAGCTTTTGAAGTTTGTCGTCATCAACTGGCAGGCTGTTGTCGCACAGGTGAAGGTATCGTGTGAGCGCCCAAAACCACTGACTGGGCATCATGGACGCGAAGAAGGGCGTGCTAATGACGCTTCTCTGAAACCAGTAGGCTTGAATCCTCCTTTTTTTCACTTGGCTCATGAGAATACAAAGGGCAAAGTACGCCTTCATCTCACCTGGAGTCGTGGGAAACCACAAAGGGTCCGGAGAGGAGGCCTGCTTCTCAAGTGCGTACGCATTCGTGTGACGTGCAAGCATCTGCCAAAAGTCCTTGCCTATCAAAGCATTGAACATTGAGAGGGCTGTAGGACTGTCCCCTACAGCTATCTGAATGGTTCTCTTTACACCTGCTGTTCCGGCGAAAGGGATCTTCGCGACTTTGTCGGCACTGTCGTCGTCCTCCCATTGCCAGACGTCGAGCCTTCGAGCTTTCGATCGTGGTGGCGCGACGGGCACCGAAGAATCAAGTGGTTCTTCTGAGTCCGAAGCCTCAGCATTGTTGTCACTGTCCGAATCACTGCTTTCGATGTCCATGGTAATTTCCGGGTTGTCGCAGTCGTCATCCTCATCACTTTCAAACACCAGATCAAGAATTTCCTCGCTGGTGAGACACCTCCTCTTCCGCGACGCAATGTTTTCATACAAAGAAAAAGAACCGCAAACTTCTTCCTTTTCACTTCTAAATATCATAAAATAATCACGTATGTGGTACCATCTGCTGTCAAAAGTACTAATCAAAACACCTACCGCCTGTAAAGTGTTGCCATTTATCAATATATTTTGGAAACAAATTATTTTGCGGAGGACGGCGATTCGCCGTCTTATTGCACTTTGGCCCTTTCTCCCGCGGACGGTGGATCGCCATCTTCGGAAGCGAATGGGTTAAGCATCCCAATCGATGCTTGGAACATTAAAATACTTGGAGATTATAACATTACGGGTGCTGACACGCATTTTAACTAAAAACTGTTTCAACTTTTCTAAAATGTCGAAACTGAAGTTAGGTGGTCGATAGATGGTACGTATCATTATTTTGATATTAGACAATTTTAGTGTGCACCAAATACTTTCTATTTGCTTTGAGTCTTCGATTGTGGTGCAATCAAGATCATGCCTAGCAATTATGGCAACGCTTTTGATACCCCAATCCTTCCTAAATATTTTATATCCTGCAGGAACTATTTCGCCATTCACCACGAAATCATGCAACCATATCTCTACAATAACCATGATATCGGGGTCATGCTCAATTAAAATGTGTTCAAGTTCCTCAACTTTGTTAATGACACTTCTTGCACGTAAATTAATAATAACAATATTTCGTATGTATTTTGTGACACTTTGTCATACCATTTCGCAACTTAGTGCCCCGAAATTATCTTTCTGGTATAAGTCTTACTTTATCATTTATGCTATCATCCCAGGCGTATGTAGCTCCATTTATTTTTATCTTATCAAATGCGAGGAAACACTTTTCACCATTTGCTCGGTTTGCGCTGCCATTTTCCCACAGCCTAATGTCTCTGACCTGTCCTGAATAGTCCTCATTTACGGGAATGTGTGTTCCTTGTATTTTTTTTGTGTTACGAAGGATTGCAGTATTGTTGCCTGAGCTACCAAGTTATAGAAAAACAGGTTGTATCTTATCGGATAACAGGCTGCCTAGCCTCTTGATGTGCTGTACACTGCAGACATAAATCCCTAATTTTCCACTGACTACCTGGTCAATAACTTGTGTAGTTAAGAAAGCCTGTGTTTCGCTCAATGTTTCTTCAAAACTATATAAGGTTTTTACACTTTTCTTGGTTGGCCTTCAAAAACGCATCCAGTGACGAAATTTGATTTCGGGCTTTCTGCACTTCACCTGACAGACGCTTTAAATTCGCCACCGAAGACTGTATGGATTCTAGTCGTTGACCAAAACTGTTTTGGTTTATCATGATCTCAGCAACATCCCAGGCAATCTGTTTCTTACTTTCGAGCAGCTGTTGCATAATAATAGTGTCAGGCCCAGGATTGTGCTCGACACTGCCACTAAGATGTAACAATATTGCAATCACACTCCAACACTCGGAGATTATGTTACACAAGCTGCGTAGGCTCGGCAGCATTATCGAGGTCCTGCAATCGTGTTTAAAACACTTGTAGAAGTATTTTCTACTAACCTGTACGTAGAACAGGAAGCAATATGACATCCCTGCTTCGATTGTGCCGCCGAGCCTACTAAAGCCGCAGCGTTTCCAGGGGCAGTTTGGAGAGCAGCCACGCCTCTGTCGCAGTAGCTGATCCTTGGTTTTCCGGCGCATACTTTCTTGTTCTGTTGTCGTCGATGACGGGAAACCCACTTTGCAGGTGCCAGGATTGCGTTTGATTATCAGGGACGTACTGCAGGTTGACAGCACATGACGCCGCAGCTACTGGTCTTGCATTCCCGCAGTCGACTTTGCTGGTGTAGAAAGACTGCCACAGCAGTATCTGTACATAGAACAGGAGGCGATTAGACATCCCTGATTCGATCGTGCCGCCAAGCCCACTCTAGGTGGAGGGACGATACCATGTTTTACTTTATGAACCTAGTTAGTTACTATACAAACCTAATTCCTATATTCAAGGACAAAACATGACTGAAAGTTGACACAGAGTGCTCCTTCAGTACGACAATGCGCCTGGCCTCATGTCTTGCATTACAATGGTCCCCTAAATAAAGCTTTTGGGAATGATATCAACCCTATTTATTGTATCTGGCACCCCGTGACTACAGGCTGTTAAATTAAAAAAATGACACACCTGCATGGTAGATTTTTCATCTGTATATGGTTTAGGTAATAGAGGTTAGGTGCAGAGATTCGACAAACTTTTTTTCCAGGAAGCAGCATAAATTCTATATGGCGAGCAACTGTTCTAAAATGTGTCTGATGCACATGAATGCAAAGAGGGGCCATATAAAGTGGACCATAGAGAATGCATAAAAAAGAGTGATGACGACCCAGCCAAGCTGGCCCCATCATTGGCTGCGGTTGCACGTACGAATGCACGAGGTCTGCAAGGAGCAGACCAAGGGGGTTATATTAAGAGGGAGCGCTCCTCCAAGCCCCATAGAGAATACACGCGATTTTCTGCCATTTTACGAAAATTCTCATTTAATAACCGTTACACCGATTTTTTCAAACTTTTTTGCTATAAAAAGATTGATTCTTCGTCCAAATATCCCACTGAGCATATTTTTCATAAAAAAATTTATTATATTTTATATTAAATCGTGAAATCGGTCGGAATTGGCTGTTTTGACATGTTTACGTTAGAACGCGTTTTTAAAAACCTGTGAATTTTTAACTACAAATGTGTCTGGTGGGATATCTGCGGAATTTAACACGGAATTCAATTATATTAAAATTATAGCTGTAAGTACATCCGTTCTTTAACTACATCGAAAAAACTCAACCAAGGTGTTGTGGCTTGTTTTCCTCGTTTGGACGGTCAAGACTAGTTCGACGAGCGCCGCGTGAGGGCGCCACCATTTCGCCACGCACGCTGCTCTGATTTTGTATTACTCCGCGCGCATGCGCTCTTCAGTAACGCGCTTGTGGTGGTCCAGAGACGGCAAGACCCGTCCAGGCAGAGTGGTTTTGTTTCTCGGGGTGGGATGTCAGGCGGATAGCTGTGCGTGTTTTCATAACTAGAAAGGCCGTCCTCGCAGCTATGGGTCCAAAGAGGTATAAATATGGCAAGCGAAAGGTCTTGAAGTCGCAAATAGAGTTTGCACGTAAGCGACCCTCTGCTGAAACTACGGATGGTAAGGTTTCAGGTGAGGTTGAGTCATTGTGTCGTCGCGCTGCGAGAACGAATTGACTCGGGGTGTTGAAGATGCCGCTTGGGAAGCCATGCAACAGGCCGGAGTGGAAGAAGCGAGGCGCGCGAAGGAATCTGGCGAGATCGATGCCGAAGGCTCCGCTTGTTACCGTCGTTGCAGACTGTGCGTGATCAAAGCGATCGTACAGGCACAAGAACGACGCTCCTTCTGGTACGGTAAGTACTACATTTCTTCCTCTAAAAGGGGCGCGAATTTTGATCGTAGATATAATATACATTTCTTTAAAGTGCGTTCGAAAGAAATCCGAAGCATGTTTTTCTCGCCACGAAAATACATTAGTCTCTGTCGCTAGGCTACATTTGGGAGGACGCTGAGCATTTGGCAATGCGTAGTTTATTTTTATGGTGAGATGACCGTGGTTAGAATCCCTCTCTGTTGTATGTGTATTTCTGTGAATGCAAGATTTGTTTCGGCAACTGGGGTGACGATTTCTCACGAAGCACTGGAAACAGTTATGCTTTTTGTGTGCCTGTTTTAGTGACCGCTGTTTTATGTACTATACATTCCGAATATACGCGGTGCCATGCAGTCAGTTCGTCAGACGACGTTTTAGACAGCTCGTTTCTTCGAAGCTGCACTTTTTCAAGGATAAATCGTTCCATCGGAAATAGCCGGCGTTCGTTTCATCGATACACCTTGTGACGTTTCGTCTAGTTTTTCTATTATGTGCGTGCTCGCGCTTGCGAACGTAATTGCGCGTCCGTGTCTGCTTGCGTGTGCGCCTGCATGAGCGAGGATGCTTATGTGCGTGCCCCCCGTGCACATGCGTGTTTTCATGTTTACGCGTGAGTATATATACCCGCGTATCTGTGTGCGTGTTATACGTGCATCTGCGTGCGTGTTTGCACGCGTGGGCGTTTGCCTGCTCATAAGTGCGCGTGCCTGTGCGAGTGCGCGCGTGCACGTGCGTGTGTAATTCGTGCGTACGTGTGCGCGGGTGTGCTTGTGCGTGTGTACGTGAATTTGCATCCGTGCCTGCGCGTGCATCCGCGTATCTGTGTTCGCGCATGCGTATGCGTGCCTAATTCGTGCGGGTTTGAGTGGGCGCATGCATACTTGGGCGTACGTGTGCCCAAGTACGCACGTTGTCGGACTTGCGGGAAAGGTTCGAGAAGCTCGAACCTGGTCGAACTCGAACGTCGGCTGGTTCGCGACACCTTTAGTACTCACGTTGCGGACGGTTGGTGATTGGCCGCTGATAACTTCACCGTAACTTTTTGCTTTATGTTTAGCGCCATTTTTTATATTTCTATTCGTGCGATTGTAATCTTTTGCGATTAAACTCTCTGTACCCTTTCCTTGTTACCTATGAAACGATCTCGAACGCCTCGAACAACAGCGACGCTTGCGTTCGTTCTCGGGGCTAGTAGGCAAGGAGGTTACAAGTATTTATATGACGTCAGACTGCCTTTTGATGCCGAGTCACAACACAGAAGTATGGCCACCGAAGGCAAAAAGAAGTTATCCCATTGGCGAGTTTGCTTTGTCTTTCAATTTTCACAACTCTCCCGAATCAGTTTTGCTTTATCGTTTGGTGGTCATGTTTGTGGGCGATGACTCAGCACGTGACTAGACCCTATAACCGTTCATGGTGTTTTTCTCTGTTTTTATTTTTTAGATTGAACGATTCTGCTGCAGTGTGGAACGAACTACACGAAAGTGCTCAACCTTCTACGAAGTCTTCCGAGGAGCAGAACGTGTGGGGATCAGGACTATTGGAAGATATGTTCTCAAGTCATGAAAAACTGCCCGGTCGCCAATCATTACAAATTGTCTATGAAATACTATAAGAAATAATCAGTGTCGTGAAAAATTGTATAAAAATACTTTGTTGTGCAGTGCTGGTGGCTAGTTGTGATGAAGTAACGAAGGTATATGCCGGTAGTTTGTCATGTATGTATTCGATTATGTATTTATTTTTAAAGTACCTAATATACAGTGTTGTTTTTACTTAACTGGAACGTGTTTTTCTTTTAAAAGAGGGGGAGGCATTTACCTTAGTGCCGTATTCACTGTGCCTTTAGGGGGCTCGGCGAACACTACATGGGAGATCATTGTAGTGATAAGCTGGGTGGGTAAATAACTAAAGTCTGCTAATCAAGTTTCCCACGAGCGGGTTTATAGCTCGTGTTGCAATTATATATTTAAAGTCATTAGACGGTAAATAAATTTGGACGTATTGCTAAAACCCAAAGGGATTTTAAGTATCTAGGTTTTCAGTTTTTTTATGGCCAAAACATAATTGGCTCGTTTGGCCACGGGAATCGCAGTACCGCTATTTCTGCATAGTTGAATAAAGCAATCGCTCGCTAACACATCGTACAAAATAAATAGCGTGTTAATTGCAAACACAATGTTTATAGTGAGAAATAATATTCCGGAGCGCCTCTCGCGGCACAGATCATTTGATAGTGTTTTATCAATGCCATTTATGTAATACAGTATCGCGAGAAATATATTGTATAATTAAAAAAAATATTTATTATATATTGACAGTGCTACTGGCGAACTCTCCACGCCGGTCCACTTGTAAAGACGGATTTTGAAGTAATGTCTTGTGATTGTCTTTGTCGCCTGGTGTCCCATGTGTTTGTAGTTGACAAGTGTTTATTTGAATCCACGGTCAGTGCATTCAACCGTACGTTCAGTGCAGTTTCGCTTATTTTGCTCGAATGATTAAATTTGCATTTGTTTTAATTTTCTTCCCTTTAGTTGTGTCTGTGCGCCGCTGTTTTTACTCACATGAACACATATACAGGGTGATCCTCGAATCAGCCGGGACCCCTTCAGCCGTCGCCGCGGACCACAGTTTGAGAACCGCTGAACTAAGATGTGCTAAATATCTCGAGTTAATTCCGTGATTCGTCATGTTGCAACTGCTGTTTTAGAGACAATTAATATGGGCGGCTTTATCTTGGTAGTGTACTTTGAAACGAGTTTAAATTTATCCTACTCGGAATTCGTTTTATCGTTTGGAAGAGCAAGGCTGATGGATTTTTACGACTCGTTAGAGCATGAATGAACTGGCTTAGAAATAATTACTGAACAGTGAGAGCGTCTCGTGAATTGGACCAGGGCCGTAACCAGGGGGGTGGATAGGGGGTTCTGACCCCCTTCGAAATTTTTTTCTGGGTACGGCCCTGGTCGGTGCACTTGCAGCCAGCCGATTTTAATCTCCACCTCTGCGCACGCGCAGTGGCGCCGGTCGGCTACCGGGTACCAAACCGGGACCGGTTCTCCAGTTTGCTGCAACTCTCCATTATATGCCACCGATGCACATGATTCATAGGCGAAAATAAGACAATAGACACTTTCAAAATGGCCGCCGTTGTCCCCGAAAACCCCCCCCCGAAATTTTTTTCTGGGTACGGCCCTGAATTGGACTATTGGGGAGCGGATCGAAATATAGGGGCCGCTTTGTCTAGAGTGTTGTCCACACAGTTGGGTGTTTATTTTGAGAGCATACACGTTGGTTATGCTCTGCAAGAGCCAGATGGGCTCTGCAAGAGCCAGACGAAGATTAAACATTGCGACGGCAAGGACGCAAGCCCCGCGTCGCCGTACGTGACGACGGACGACGTTCTTTCCCACGAACAACGGCAGT